TGTGCTCTGGACTGCATTCCCCTTCGAGTTCGTAGGGACCTGACTCTTTGCCCATGATCCAGCCTTTACTTATCTCTCCAACCCCGTCTCCCATCATTCACCATCTTGCTCACAATACCAATGTGCTTTTCCAATTTCTGGCTCTTGTACATGCTGCCTATGCCTTTTATTTCTTTCACAATTTGCAATTTTGGGGTTAACTCATTTATTTATTTTGTCTATTTCTCCTGCGCAGGTGACTCCCCACCACTACCACAATGGCCTTAGGCAACCACGACCAGCTTTCTGTCCCTATAAATACACTCACCTTTTATAGGTAATATCTTATAAATGGAATATAAAATACATTAATTCTTTTATGTCTAGCTTTTTCCACTTAGTGTATTTTTGGGACTCATCCATATTATTTATTCCATGTGTAGTTTATTCTATTTATTGCTAAATAGTATTCCTTTATGTAGATGTACTACAATTTATTTATCCATTTACTTGTATATAGATATTTGGTGTTCTTTCCAGTTTGGGGCTATCTTTGTATAAACACAGCATTTCATTTTCTTGGGTAGAGAGATAGGGGCAAAACTGCTGAGTCACTAGTAAGTATATATTAAATTTATAATAAGAAAATTCTTACCCACCAATAACTTATGAGCATTTCCATTAATTCCTATTCACACAAATACTAGGTAGTATTAGTCTTTTAAATTTTAGTTATGGTAGTGGGTGTACAGTATTTTATTGTGCTTTCAATATACATTTCCCTAATGACCTATGATGCTGAGCAACTCCTGTGCTTACTGGCATTCATATAGCACCTGACGCACATCTCTTCAAATCATTTGTCCATTTAAAAAAATGGACTGTGTGTCCATAGTCTGAGATCCATTTTGAATTGTGTTATACATGGAATGAGATAAAGGTAAAAAGTTCAAAAGCACAGAAGGTACTACAATTGTCCATATATGCCAAACACAGAGGAATCTCAGGATAAAAACTTTATTTACTCTACAAAGCAGAACAAATAAGAAGTATGGTGTCAGCTGGGTGTGAGATTTATCGGGATGATCACTTATTAAGTTATATAATAATGTATGTCAGTGGTAATTAAAAATAAAAAATAATTTTAAAATTTTTGAAAGAAAAATATGAAAGTTTTTATTCTAAATTCACTATAAACAGCCCACCTAAAACAAATAATATTCTAGTGCCCTCTAGTGGGGAGAAACTGTAGTGATATGCCAGACGGAGAGAGATGGACTAATAAAACATTCAGAGGAATCGACAAATGATTTTCATTTATTCTCCTCACTCTTTTTAAAGTGAAAAATTTAAATGGAAAATATTTTGCTGTTTTAAGCAATCTTAACCCAATGTGAATGCAGTGAAATAGAAAATTGGTTAGAAAAACAAAACACGTGTTTGGAATTTGTATTCCCATAGTACACTTCCCTACACAAAGTAAATGAGGACCAGAGATCAGAGGGGAAAAAAAAGAATTTTACTACATATCAGTTATGTAACTGATTGAGCAAGGATGTAAATGAAATAGTTTAAGATATGTAGTTTAAATACACTATCAAGATATATGTATATGTTAGTATCTACTTGTATATAATGCAACATATAATAATGTATAATATTAGACACACACACACAACATATTTTTCGGGAATGGAGCACAAGAAGCTGTAGACAACAATGATTATCTGTGTAGACCAGGAGTGGTAGGGAGAGAGGGAGAATATGTATGTATCTATATAAAAATTATTTCTATATTATACACATATTATACATCACATGTTATAGTCTGTGTTGTATATTGTATATAATTATATTATACACTATGTAATATACATACTATATAACATCACACCATGTTATATACAATATGTGCCATATAATACATAACATACAACATATTATTGTGTGTGTGTGTGTGTGTGTGTATTTAGGTTTTATTTATTTGTTTTTAGAGAGGGGAAGGGAAGGAGAAAGAGAGGGAGAGAAACATCAATGTGTGGGTGCCTCTCATGCATTCCCTGCTGGCGGCCTGGCCCACAACCCAGGCAGGCATGTGCCCTAACCAGGAATTGAACCAACGACCCTATGGTTCATAGGCCCGCGCTCAATCCACTGAGCTACACTAGCCAGGCTGAACTTACATATTTTAAATATATGTAATAAGTGCTCTTTAAAAATGTACACCAATCATTCTCAAACAGTAAAATGGAATTTTACATGCTTATATATGAACCCCCTAAAACAGATGGGAAATAAATAATATTTTGCTCAGAACAATCTGCTCCAATAGTTGATCATAATGAACTCTTATGAGGTCCCACAGGGCCTCCCTTATACTTCTGAAGGTCCTGTCTGAAATGCCTTTCCTGTCTCCTTTATATATATACTCTTTTCTATTTACTATTTGCCTTCCCTACTTTTTTTCTAATGCCAAAGCATATGCTGCTTCCTATCTGAAGCTTTATCTTTATATCCTTGGAGATAATCCATTCTTATAAATTTCTGTTGTAATTATTTTTATTTTATAAGAATTACTTTGAGCCCTGGCTGATGTGGCTCAGTGGACTGAGTGCTGTGCTGGCCTGTGAACCATAGGGTCACCGGTTCAATTCCCAGTGCGGGTGCAGGTCTGAAGGGTGGGCTGGGTCCCCAGTTGTGGGTGTGCAAGAGGCAACCACATACCGATGTTTCTCTCCCTCTCTTTCTCCCTCCCTTCCCCTCTCTCTAAAAATAAATAAATAAAATCTTAAAAAAAAAGTTTACTTGAGCCAAACTGTATTATAATTATTACCTAAGTTATTTAACTGGCTTATAGCTCAGGCTCCTTTACATTATTGACATTCTTCCCTTTAAGCACCTGCTAAATCTTTGCAACTGTTGGTAAAATACTCAAGATCACAGTCAGAGTTGATAGTTCTTATTGCCACTATCTTACCCCAAATGTTTTATATGATAATCACGAGTGTGTTAATCCCACCCTAGAAATTTGCAGAGTTCTAGATGAGCCCTTTGGGGACCAGGACTTACGCATGCTCAGTCCTCCACTGCTAGCCTCATTGGACCCATCACCCCCCAGCACCACCGCTGCCGCCGCACACCTCCCTTCCTTCCCATATCTCTGCATTTCTCTCTCTGGGAAGTGCTACCAAAGCATTATACACTGAACTTTTAGATAATTCCATTTGTAAGGGTAACTTGTGAAAGTAATCTGTATTTCCAAAAGTATGAAGCACTAAATACACTGAATAAGCCTCCCACTATAAACAACTAAATATATAGTATAAACATGTATTTAAATTACTTGCTTGGCCAAAAGTTATGAACTGGCAGGGACAAAAAAAAAGGAGAAACCCCAGCTTAAAACTGTCCAGCTGAACCAGTCCCATAATCTTGACCCACAAAACTATGAGCAAAGTAAAATGATTGTTTAAAACCTCTAAAGTCTGCCAGTGATTTATTATGTAACAATACTAATGTAATAGGTATTACACAGCTAGTGGGCAAGCTCTCCACTTTATAGTATTTGAGATCAATATTGAATCTTGAAGGCATCTCTGCTTCACTTCTATTTTTTTCTTGCCTTAGAATTTCAGAGAGATTTTTCAAAATTCTGAACTGTAACCAGGCAGCATGGGGCCTGGCCACTTGTCACCATGCACACACCAACACAAAGATTTGTGGGGAAGGAAATAGGTTTTTAGCAATTTGGCCTGACCCCTCCATTACAAAACCACTCATTTCATAGGTGTGGATAGAAACTTAGGCCCAGAGAACTGAAATCACAGAACTAATCCCAGGCCAAATTAGCAACAGAATACAGATCAAAACCCACGCTTCCTAACTGAATGCAGGGCTTCTTTCCCCTAACCCAAACTTCTTTGTATTTTCTCTTTCTTTAGTCTATTAGTCTACTCTTTTTCCTTGAGCCCGGGCAGTAAGAACATTTTCGATCAATCACTCCTTTATACTTCCCTCCAAAGAGCCCAGACTTCTGTATAATTTAAGGACTTAAAGAGCATTTCCTAGAGTCTCTAATCCTGCTGAGCCTCTAGCCTTCTAAGGTGCCACCCTCCTGGGGCAGCTGTTAAGTGTATGAATTATCTCCAGCACAATAAAAATGTGTTACCAAGTATAACTTGGTGAGAGGGTGGGGCGATGACAGTAGAAGGGCATTATCTGAGTAACAGGACTTTCAGAGCTTCCAGCAAGGAAGACAGCATGAGTCCATGTCTGACCCAGACTGAAAACTGCTATGCTTTGGCGACTGTAATAGGTAAAGGTTATCTACAAGTCTAACAATTTCCTAACAACTTCCTAACAAAGGTCTAACTTGCAGTAAGGGAGGCTGGTGTATTGGATAGGGTCAGGAAGAAATCAAGAAAAAAAAAATTAAAAGACCAACAATAATTCAAAAAAGCACCGGAGAAACAGAAGGTAATAAAGGAAGAAAAACAAAGGAGAGGGAAGTTACAGGAATGTAGCGTAACGATGAAGTCATGCAAACATCTCACCACAGCCCACATTAGAATCACAGCTGGATTTGCAGTTTTTTACTTATGTTTAACTGGTTTCTAACTTCCATAGTATGGCCTCAAAGTAAGATTGTTAATACAAGGAGATTACAGTCTCTAAAATTCTAGCTTAAAACTATTTGAAACCACTCTCAGGTCCATCAACAGGGTTGGTTTTGATTTTATGGCCTGAAGTACATTCAAACAACGGAATATCAAACATCTGTGAAAGGTGGAAGTTTTTGTATTCACACAGGTTTATATTATGTGACCCTTTTGTGTAAGAAAGGGGGATAAGAATAAATATATGCATTGTTATGTTTGCATAAAGAAAAAAGAAAAGAAGACTAGGTTATGAAAAAAAGTTTCTGGCTATTTACACGTAAGTTCATTATCAAACTTACTGCCCAGCAAGAGATGTAAGGACATTATAATGGTACTTCTTATTTAACTTTTGCTCTTCCCTAGCTTAGAACAAACTGGACCATCCAGATGGAATGTTTGGTGTGTTTTGGCACAACAGGATCTGAGGATGGAGTTATATGATGCTGACTGATTTCCAGTCTTCTCAGGTCAGAGAAGAGATGACTTTTTCCCCACATCTGGACCAAATGAGAACTCTCACACTCACTATTTCTCTTCCCACAATAATGTTTCACCCTGTGTTTACCTCCACTAACCTCTAAACAATATTTGCAATTTAAATAAATTCCTTACTATCTGATTCCAAGTACTTACCACCTAGTTTCTGGGCCATACATTTTAGGCTTCAGCTGTTATTGTCCATTCACTTGTAATTATAAATGCTGACAAGTTGCTGATAAGCTCTCTGTATGTATAATAGTCTTTGCAGAGTGCCCCCAGTGCACATTTAGTTAGGCGCTCTGGAACTACTTTTTTAATGCCAATTTCCAAAAGTGTAACCCTGTATAACCAAAAGTCATAAGCCCTATGCCATGCTCTACAACCTTTCATATTCCTAGGTTTTCCAATCCTGAAAGCCAGCTTAGAATCTATTAATTCCACTCCAAAATAGGGACAGTTTCAAATATGCAAACAGAAAAAAAAGCTATTAGTCAGCTACATCTCTTAGCTGCTGGGAAAAATGACTAAGGACCAGCACAAATAGCTGTAGGCAGCATATTCAAATCAGAGTGAGAATCAAGATTAGGAATATAAACACCATACTCTCCTCCCTCAGTAGCCACCCTTTCTTCTAGTCCTCCCCAATTACTGTCACCACTTCCTCTAAGGAGGGAAGCTGTGGAAGCAGCTGGTTTACTCACTAAGCTAGCTATATTTGGTTTATCTGGCAATAGAAATGCACAAAAAGTAAAAAGAGAGCTATTTGTTTATGATTGGTTCAAATTCTTTTCTCCCAGGTAAAATGACCCATAAACTAACAAAAAAGAATTGAGAGAAAGGAAAGGTAAAGGAGAATTTTCTACTGAAAAGCTAAAAGAGATGGGCCTAGTGAATTGTGAACTGTAAATTTCTAAGTACTCTGCTTCTGGTTTCTGATCCTGTTACTAGTTGCCATCGTCCCAGATTTAGGGAACAAGCCGAAAAATGGCTACAAGGTTATTATTTAAGGATCTTTCAACTGCTCACAAGTTCAGATCTCAGAACAACACTGCTGTTTCAACCTCATGGTTTTTATAAACTAGAGCCAAGAGGAAATTACAGACAACATTGAGAGTGGATACACCCAAGTCCAGAAATATCTCTCAAGAAACAGAGGGGAAGAGGGAATGATTATTATTTTTTTAATATGTTTATTGATTTTAGAGAGAGGGAGAGGGAGAAAAACATCTTTGTGACAGAGAAACATCAACTGGTTGCCTCCTATATGCACCTGACCAGGGATCAGGCCCGCAACCTAGATATGTGCCCTGACGGGGAATCGAAACCCCAACCTTTTGGTGTACAGGACGGTGCTCCAACCAACTAACTACGCCACACCGGCAAGGGCAAGGGAATAACTATTTTTGTTAATCCACCCCACCTCTCTGCTGTGAAATGAATATCTTTTTAAAAACTTTAAGCCCTGGCTGGCACAGCTCAGTGGATTGAGCACGGGCTGGGAACCAAAGTGTCCCAGGTTCGATTCCCAGCCAGGGTACATTCCTGGGTTGCAGGCCAGAACCCCCAGCAACCACACATTGATGTCTCTCTCTCTCTCTCTCTCCCCCTCTCTCTCTCTCCCTCTCCCTCCTTTCCCTCTCTAAAAATAAATAAATAAAATCTTTAAAAAAATTATATGTGTACTAAAAAATAAATTTCTAAAAAAAAAAAAAACAAACAAAAAAAACCTTTAATAATGGCTCAGGCTGTTGTAGCTCAGTGGGTAGAGTGCCGGCCTGCAAACCAAAAGGTCTCCAGTTCGATTCCCGGTCAGGGCACATGCCTGGGTTGCCGACCAGGTTCCCAGTGGGGGGCATTCAAGAGGCAACAGACTGATGTTTCTGTCTCACACTGATGTGCCTCTCCCTCCCTTTTTCCCCTCCCTTCCCCTCGCTCTAAAAAATAAATATTCTTTTTAAAAAGTTTTTAAAAAAACTGATAATAAAATTCATGTTCATTGTAGAAAACATTAAACAAAAGGCAAAAACCCACCATAATCCCAACACTCAACTATTACCATTGTTGCTATTTTAGAATATAGCCTTCTGGTTAATTTTATACGCGAAAAAATTAGAGCATGTTATAATCTTTTTTCCATGTAATATGTTATTACACATTTCACATCTATTGTATCACTAAGTACTGTAACTGAGAGCATGAATTTTGAAGTCAGACAGATATAACTGGGTCCCAGCTCTTCAACTCACTGTGTGATTTCAGACAAGTTATTTAACCTCTCTCCATGCCTGAGTTTCTTTATATAGAAAATGGAAATAAAAAGTGCTTACCTCATGAGCCTATTCTAAGGATTACATAAGATAATAGATAAAGGAACAAATGAAGTACATAGTAAGCACTCAACAACATAATATTTTAAGTGGCTAGTATCCACCCAATAAATGTATCCTAGTTTGTTAAAAATCCCCTACTGTCAAAATAGTTTCAAAATTCATAATATTATAAATAGCAATGCAAGAAAGACTTAATCTAAATCTTAACGTCGTGATTTTTTTAAACTAAGTTCCTAGAAGTAGAAATCAAAGTCAAAAGGAATAACACATTTTCTATTGCCAAAGTGCCTTCCAGAAAAGTACTGATTTATATTCCCATTTGCATATGTAAAAATATTCATCTTTACCCTTTCATCCGCAGAGATTAAAACACATTCTTAAAATATTACGCATATATTTTTATAGACCATGTTTTAGAATCATAAGCTATATGATTCTGATAAGAAATTCCATCATTTCAGAACTATTGGAAGTGAAAGTTTCCCTTGCTCCAGTTTTATCCCTATTTGGAGGTTAATTTTATGTAATCAACTGTATCACTTTTATGAATGCTGGGATTTATGCCATGCTTACTAAATAATCACTGATAGCTGCTTTCAGTAACTTTACGGTCTCATTTTTATTTATGTATGCTTAAAATATAGAAGTTATTCATTAACATATTTATTAAAAATTCAAATAATAAATATACAGAATGAAAACTGAAATTCACCCTTCACTGCCATGATTAATTTAAAGTTCATCCTTCCACACCTTCACCTATGAATTTACAAACAGACACAATCATACAGTTTTTTAAAAATATAAATCAAATCATGTTGTATACATTAAACTTACATAATGTCATATGTCAAATATACTTTAATAAAAATTCATGTAATAAAGATGTTTGTAAGAAAAAAGTTTATAGTCTACTAAAAGCAAACAAATAAATACAAAGGTACTGTGGGATAATCATATATGCAGAAATAAAATGTATAAAAACAAGCCTTGGCCGGGTGGCTCAGTTGATTGGAGCATTGTCCCATACACCAAAAGGATGCAGGTTTGATCCGTGGTGGGGACATATACGTAGGTTACTAGGTTACCCAGTTGGGGTACGTGTGGGAGGCAAATGATTGATGTTTCTCTCTCACATGGATGTTTCTTTCTCTCCCTTCCTCTTTCTCTCTCAAGTCAATTTAAAAAAATCCTTGAGTGAGGATGTTAAAGAAAATTAGAAATAATATTACACAGGATGGGAAGGAAGAAGTGAAAGTATGCTACTATAAGACTGACATAGTACATGCAGAGTGCCACAGTATCACAGGAACACAGTCTCTGATAAGTTAAAGATATACACTATAACCCCTGCAACAGCCACTAAAAGTGAAAAGAAAAAGCTACAGCCAATAAGGCGGTTGGGAGATAAAACTGAATGATTAAGATATACTTAATATAAAATAAACAGAAAAAGGGAAACAAAGGACAGGAAAAACAAAACAAAGAGCAAGATGGTAGATTTACATCTACTCATATGAATAATCACATGACATATCTATGGCCTACACACCCCAATTAAAAGGCACAGTTTGTCAGATTGGATAAAAGCAAGACCCACCTATGTGCTGCCTACAAAGAATATACTTACGTAAATATAAAAATACAAACTTACTAAGAGAAAAAAAACTATGCTAATATTAGTCAACAGAAAGGTAAAATGACCTTTCACACATCCTCAGGTGACTTCAAATATGATGATGCAACGAAGGGACACTCAAAATTTACTAACTTCCATCTTATTTACCATATACTCAGTTAATCCTCAGTTAATTTCTGAGGATTAAAGGTCCGAGTCGTTAAAATTATATGCTCCATTCAAGCAGGTTTTCTGCATACTTTGCTCAGGAAAAAATGTTGAATACATTTCCCAGTATATAGATGTTTTTTTTTAAATGACTTATCAACATTTAAAAAAAAATTTTATTGGTTAAGCTATTACAGCTGTCCCATTTTGCTCCCTTCATTCTCCTCTACCCTGCACACCCTCTCCCACCCACATTCCCCCCTTTAGTTCATGTCCGATACTTGTAAGTTCTTTAGCTTCTATACTTCCCATACTGTTCTTGCCCTCCCCGTCTATTTCCTACCTACCATCTATGCTACTTATTCTCTGTACCTCTTCCCCCTCTCTCCTCCTCCCACTCCCCTGTTGCTAACCCTCCATGTGCTCTCCATTTCTGTGGTTCTGTTCCTGTTCTAGTTGTTTGCTTGTGGTTTTGTTTTAGGTGTGGTTGTTAATAATTGTGAGTTTGCTGTCATTTTACTTACATGTTTTTTATCTTCTTTTTTTTAGATAAGTCCCTTTAACATTTCATAAAATAAGGGTTTGGTGATGATGTACTCCTTTAACTTGACCTTATCTGAGAAGCACTTTATCTGCCCTTCCATTCTAAATGAAAGCTTTGCTGGATAGAGTAATCTTGGATGGAGGTCCTTGCCTTGCATGAATTCGAATACTTCTTTCCAGCCCCTTCTTGCCTGCAAGGTCTCTTTTGAGAAATCAGCTGACAGTCTGATGGGAACTCCTTTGTAGGTAACTGTCTCCTTATCTCTTGCTGCTTCTAGGATTCTCTCCTTCATTTTTACCTTGGCTAATGTAA